ATTGGGAAATTCATAAATACTAGTAAATTTCTTCTCTTTTTTCCTATTTTGCGGAATTACCTGGTCAGTTGATACAATCCCTATAACTAAGCTAGACGACCATGAAAAACCATTTCTTGTGCTATCTTCTCTTGGGCTTGAACGAAAAAACAAGCTAAAAATGCCATGGATTCCATGTCCACAATTCATATATATGCTCGCTGCTGATAAATTTAGGAAAATTTTGGTGTATAGAATCACTTTTTACGGTACATGATATGCCAATAGTATAAGGGTGCAGTTGGCATCCGTAGTTCTACATTATGAGGTTGCATCTTTATATAAATTTTTTCCTTCTTTGAAATGGGTTTTTTTATTGTATACAGAGTGGCCTCACTCTCACCACGATGGTGTGCCCGACGGTGTACACCGAATGGTGGTAATTAAATTATATGATAAAAAATTTATTAAAAATAGTAATTGGGTGTTGACCACCCGTATCTTTCATCAAAAAAATTTAAATTTACCTACTCAAATAAGACATCAAAACTCTATTAAGGTTGTAATAATTTAGGTGGTAATAATTTGTTTTTTTTTTTTTAACGAATTAGGGTTCTCTGCCAATTCGAAATTTTTGTGGATATTTTCATCAATTTAAACCATTATTTATTGTAGTCCATGTATGATTATGTACTTCATCCATGATAATTATATAATTTTTCTTTTGTGTGATGTAAATTTAATGGTTAAAATAAGTTCATACAGGGAAAGAACATCTCAATATTCGCATATTGATGAAAAAATATAAGTTAATAATGTAGTACCTCGATTTCTTATTGGATTCTTAAAAAACAATTTTTATAATTAATTTTAATATTTTTTATTTTTTATTTTTTTAAGGCTTAATCCGACCAATTCGGCTGATTCCCAATCCGGATCACTGATTCACTGATTCTTGGCATTTTATTTTCTATCTTTTTGAGTTTAATTTGTATCATAGTATGTGTGTGAACCATATGAACTTGACCTGAAATTGGTGTAGCAGGGTTGCTATGTGGGGGACCAAGGCCTTGCAGCAGTTGGGGAGTGTTGCAAGCAACTTGAATACTTTAACTTGCAGTTAGGGTCTAGCTGACACAGGATTAACCAATTTACTGGTTGTGGACAAACATTAAATCCCGGGGTATGGCTATTGTTTGTTAAGTCATGGGCATCTGAGGACGAACATTGAAATCCTTGGGTGTGGCTATTGGTTGTGGACAAACATTAAAATCCCTGCAAGGTATAAATGTCACTTACAAAACTCTACAATGAGCTTCTAGAAATTAAAAGATCTGTTAGGTAATGGGCATCTGAGGGCCACTCCGACAAATAGAAAGGCCAGTCGGGCATTACATGGGGCAATCCTACGGTTCTGAGGGGCTAGTTCGGTGTTTGCATGGGGCGGTCCAGCGGTTAGGGAGGCCAGTCCGGCGGTTAGGGAGGCCAATCCGACATTTATGTCACTGGAACTGCCCCAGTCCGGCGTTCTGAGGGGCAGTTCGGCGGATAGGATGCCAGTCTGGCGTTCGTATACTACGGTCTGGTGATTAGGAGGGCAATTCAGCATTTTCATGGGGCACTTCGGCGTTTCATCTCATTGGAACTGCTCAGGTCCAGCATTCTAAGGGTTAGTCCGACATTTTGGGAGGTCAGTCCGGCATGTTTAAGGTGCAGTTCGTTGTTTATGTCACTGGAAATGCCCCATTCGGCATTCTGAGGGGCAGTCTGACGGCTAGGGATGTCAGTCCGACGTTTGTATATTGCGGTCTGGCGTTGGGGAAGGGCAATTCGGTGTTTTCATGGGGCAGTCCGGCGTTTCATCTTATTGGAATTACTTCGGTCCTGTGTTCTGAAGGTCAGTTCGACATTTTGGGAGGTCAATTCAGCATGTTCAAGGTGCAATCTGGCATTCTGAAGGGTAGTCCGGCGGTTAGGGAGGCTAGCCCGGCGTTCATTTATTGCAGTGCAGGGATTGTTTCTGTTGGAGGGGCGTTCCGGCGTTTTACAAATTCGATCAGATAATTACGTTTGGACCCGAAAATGGCTTTTTAAAATATGGGAAGGGTATCTTCATAAAAAAAAAAATGTTCATTTTTTGTATTGGGGGTATTTGCTAGGAAACATAGTTTTTGAGAAAAAATTGTTAAAAAAGGTTAGGTGGGAGTAAGCGGAATGAATAATTATATTTGAAAGGGAAAGGGGGGGTTATGCAATTTTCCCTTTTTTTCTTTTTTTTTTTTGAATTGGCCGCCATGATATGGTTTCGTAGCCCCACAAACCACTTTGGGTAGAGATATTTTAAAGAACTTGGAACTCAAGCACTCACGTGTTATCGCATTTCAAAAGTACTCCATTTATATGGGAAAGGCATAGATATTAGACTTGAAAGGATTTTGGTTTCATATCCCAAGGTGAACAAACTTTTATATGACGGAAAAAAAAGAAACGGGGTCAACTCTCTCAAAGACGAGGAGTATACTGTCCATTTACTCCCTCAAGTAAAGTTACATCTAGAATAAATTTGAGGACCTCAAATTTTGCTGACGAACCTCTTCAACCCATATATTAATCTCGGCAAAAAAAAAGTCTCAATAGTTCCATCTATGCGCTTGAAAAAAAAAAGCCTCGAGATTGAATATAGACCGTCCAATTTTTAGATGGTGATATCTAGTGTTAGAAAACCTAACTTTCAAATTTTCTTGAAAATAATCCTGTAATTCTTAAATAGATCCCAAAATTTCAGATTGAAAAAACTCTTGCCACTTTAGTCTTCTAACTAAGGTAGTAGCAGTAAACTATATTCCAAAGGAGCATAATCTACGTCCTCATATCATTGAATAGTCACTTGCTAAAAATCATGTGGTAAGTAATCATGTGGGGTAGGAGGCACCTCCAATCAATTAGGAAATCAAAGAAGGTGATTTGGGGATCTAAATTTACTTTGAAGACATCAATTCATTAAGAAAAAAGTTTATGTAAGGTTGAAACCCTAAACGGTCAAATTAAGGTGCACCTTAAATATTTAGTAGCATAGATTGTTTTGATGCTCAAAATCCTAAAACCGAACATCTTGAGTTCGCGACGTACACATATGAGGAAAAAATGCATTTCAAGTCTTCGAAATAGTACGTCTTGTAATTTATTTTTTTTACTGTTGATTTTCAAGATTTTTAAGCCTTCATAGATATGTTTGATCTACATTATTTTTTAAACTTTAAACTTTATAATTAAATGTGAAAATAAATTTTCGGGTCATCACAAAAATTTTTAACACTAAAACAATTTTTTTTAATACTATTTGAAGGTGGGAATCGATAAGTGACTCCGCATATACAAACCACACCCATTAATTAAAGAACAAATTTGCGTGGAATCCAATTCTTTTGGCTCCCCGAGGTCTCATCTACTTTGGAAGTGCATCTTTTTGTCCTTATCTTGTCTTATCAATGAAAAAAAGGCTCCAGCTTCCCAAAATTTTCCAGGAATTCCGGGTTTGAATTTGAGGAAACCTTATCCTCCACGCAATTACTTCACGACATGAAAAGGGGGCTGCATCTTTGATTAAACCAAGCAAGAAAGTAAACAAATAAACAAAAACCTAGGGCTCGTACCAGGACGGGCGCCGTCAACTTGGCCCGGTTCGCTTGGCTTTAAAAAAATATGGTCTGGCCACAAACTGTGGCGCGAGAATAGCGGCGGCAACGGGTTAGGTCCGACTGGATCCGGACATAGACCTAAATAGTTTTCAGGTCCAAAAGTTGGACTCATACTCGTACCCGTCGCGTCCCGGGTCTATCGCGACAGGTCTTAGGTTTGGTTGGGTCCATTCCATTACCACCCTCACTATGATTTTTTTGTTTTTTTTGTTTTTGGCATTTTTTTATATCATATATCTTATTATTGGCAACAAAGTCACAATCACCAGCAAATAGATTTGGTCAAGCATTCTATGTTTTTCCTACAACCTAGAAGTTCTGTCCTCCCCTTTATCCAACCGTCCATTTTGAATTCAAGGCTAAAATTGCGCCAATCACAATGTCATATCTCTACACTATTTTATTTTTAATTTTTTTTCTATAAACTATTTTGACACCAAATTTTGGACGTCCATTCCTCTATTAAACTCGCACTAGCGAAAAATATAAAAAAAATATTTTTAATAAAATAAAATGATCAAAATACCCCTGAACATTTCAAAGGGCATTTTGATCATTATATTTTATCGAAAAATTATTTTTAATATTTTTTACAGGTGCACCCCAAAGAGAAGATGGCACGTACCAATTTCATATTCATACAATTTATATAAAAAAAAAAATAAAAATAAAGTACTTTAAGATGTCGGATCTAAGATCAAACGGTGAATGACGGGCTTGAAATATTTTGTCCCTAACAATTTATAGATACAGGTCGGGTTCGACCAAGCCTGGACCCAGACCCAGACCTGAATAGTCTTCGGGTCAAGGTTTTGGATTCGGACCTGCCCGCCATGACCAAATGTTAGACCCATATCCGAGACCAGTGTCGGGTATACCCGGTGGGTCCCGGGTCGGGTCCTGGTCATTGCCACTCATATGAAAGAGCCGAGATGGGGCTCGTGCTGGTCCAATTTGGCCCACTTTATTTTTTACTTAGCCCGTATAGGCCCAGGTCGAAGCCCGGCCTTACTTTGAAGAAGTAAGCCAAATCGGTGAAAACTGACTTTTGGAGTAATTATTTGTTTTTGGAGTAAGTTATTAAGTATTATTGAAATCGCACTCATTACTGCTTACGTGCTCCTGTGGTGACGGGTGCTAGGTCCCACCATGTCCATTGTAACTAATGTCTCCATCTGCATCGACGGCAGCCGTTGCAAAAGCTCCCTTCCCTGGAGGTAATTTGGACCGTCCATCCAGCATAGGCCGATAGATATTTTGTCTGCATGCAATTTTATAGCTAATTTAATAATATTTAATATGCACGTATCTCTATCTCTCTCTTGGAGATATTATTTATAGAGTTCACTGTCTCTTGAATCCATGTCATAAAAGTCCATTACAATCTTTTTCTCTCTCTAAATTCAGCCCCAAGTTGAGCAATATGATTCCCTACCAGCTCCTGCGATCCAGGTCCAATTTACAGGTATTTTTTCTGAAATGATTTATGTGTTTCTTTTATTGATAATTAATTTTATTTTTCGATTATCATCCAATTATTCTGAATATCATACGTTGCTAGATTTTTTTTTCTTAGCATGTTCTCATTGGTACTTTTTTTTTTTTTAATATTACCAGAGAAGTTCTGTTTATGTTATTTCTAAAAACAAAAAGAAAAATGAAAAAGAGATGTTTTTGTTTATGTTTAGAAAATCTAATTCCTGTTTTTTTTCATGATTAGAACGAAATTCTATTTTGAGGTTTTGAATTGATTCAGGAACTTCATTAGTATGCTGATATCCTATTTAGACCCTGCAAATCCCAAGGGCCTATTTCTTACTGGGCTGATTGTTTTCTTTGTGCTTGAATATTACTTGCATTCGGCATTTCCTTGATTATGATTATGTATGAAATCATTATCAAATTCAATAGATGAGTGTTCTTGATTGGTCTTTGAACTTGGAACACAAAGGTTGTTGTCTTTTGCTGATTTTCTTATTGCAAAGAGAAAAGAGAATCCGGTGGGCCATCCTACTGATATATATATTTGTTTGGTTGGTAACATGCTTTCCTGCACAGCTATCCATCCTTTTGCCTGAATTCACAATATTAAGCCCATTAGTTACACAATTGTGTTACCCATATTGAGAAATTTTGGTTCTTCAAGATAATGAAACTGTGGAACGAAATTTTGGTTCTGCAAGATAATGAAACTGTGGAATTTCTCAAAGGAAAAATTGGAATTCATAGAAAAGCTGTAATTCATAGAAAAACTGTAATTCCATGAATTTCTATGTAATTCATAGAAAAATTCATAGAAAACTGTGGAATTTCTCAAAGGAAAAATTTTGGTTCTGCAGAGCTGGACATAGAAAAGCTAGATTTTGGACTAACACATTAATTCCTTCGAGGAATTGGGATTGTGAACTGCTTCAATATCAAATTTTCCCCCTTATGATCCAAATTGCTGATCAATCAATTCAAGTGACTATTACATATGTCAGCCCTTGGGGATAGAATCAGAGCAGAGGTTCATCAGCATCCATTCCATATGGTAGCTGGATAAAGTGTCCTTGAGTTATAGAAATGACATCATAAACAGTTGGTGAGAGGTACTTTCGGTGCATTCCTCCACATATCAAGGTCACATTTGCTTATTGGTGGACCGACGTCACATTTACTTATCAGTGTGTGAGTTTCATATGTTATTTGGTCTAGCCTTTTGAGACTTATGAAGGTCTCAGTTATGTTCCCTTGGCCTATTCTGGTCACTGCACCTCCTTTCTTGTTATTCATGAATGGTTCTCAACTGATCAAGATGTTTTAGCAGTTCCGATATACACATCGCTATGGACCATTCCGTATATTAGCATCCAGATTTTTTTTTTGGGTGAGTCAGTGGGGAGAGGGCTCCTACTGAGCCAAGGTTGTAGCGTTGCAAATTGTCAAGCGCTAATCAATTAGCATGTGAAATATGCACATCAAAATTTATGGGGAAATAACAAATATCAAAGTGTGCTAAAGAACACCATAGGACCCGAAAAGAGAATATAATTCATGTTACGGCTCAATTAGCCCAAAATGAATACATAATTAATCAGAAATTTGTAAACAAGATTGTCCACATTCCTGCTTAGCCTCTATCGATCTTCAGCAGTTATAGTGCCCCCTGTCATAAGCATTTATCCTCATTGCATTGGTTCCAAAATTTTTGGTTTAAATCTGTTCTGTTTAGACCTGTTCAGCCCATTAAACATTGATGGCGATGCCCTAAAATGACATCTCTCATTGAGGAGAAAAAGTGATGTTTCCATGATGCTTTTGCGGTATCTTTGTGAAATAAGGGGCATGTATTCATTTAATGTCTTTAGTAATTCATTTGTTAATAGGGAAGCCAATGATGTAGCTGTTTGCTTATCTTATTTTGAGGTGGTCTGTCTGCATTTGTGACTTCTCACTTGTAGAATTGTAACTGAGACATGTTTGCTATCTTTGTACTTGACTTTCCTTTGGTGAAAGTATAGCTTATAAAAAACCATGGTGGTCTACTTGAGGTTAAAATTCCCAATTTCTGTGTTTTAAAATCGTGCTGTTCCTAAATGGAGACAAATATCTCTGCATGCTTTTTGTTTTTCGTGCGAAACTTATTTTTTTCTGTTGTTGCATAGCTGGGTAAGTTCATCAAACATGTTGCCGCTGCTAGAAATCTGAAAGTGCCCCCACATCATTGTCCTACATTTGCCAGTTATAGTTCAGAAGCATCTTTGCAGAGTGATGTTCCTGAATCAAATGATAAAGGGTATGGAATCTTAGGTGGAAAAGTCTTTGTATGCAGCCGATCAACAATTGAAACTGCATTTTCTATAAAATTCCTTGACAGTCTTTTTTATAACAAAAAGAAGAAGGATAGATTAATTCGTTAATTATGGCTGATTTCTTTTGTTTAATAGTACATATAGTACATAACTGCGACACATTGTGATGTCAAATGGTACAGATTCAAGGGCCATGACATGCTTGCACCTTTTACTGCTGGATGGCAGAGTACAGACTTGCATCCTTTAGTTATTGACAGATCGGAGGTATTTCATGCAATTTATGGTGTTAATGGATACAAATTGATATTGTTTATGTATCAGCACCACTTCTCTTTAGCTTTAGAAATACAAAGCTCTATTTACTTCTTGGTTTTCTTTATAGGAAAAATGTGCTTTGATGACAGTTCTATAAAAAAAACTAGCGGTCACTTTTCATATGAAACTCATACGTGTTCACATGAATGTGGACGGGAAATAGAGATGGTTCATGCAAGTTTCTGTTTATAATTCAGCGATTATTGAGTATACCTTTTCGATAAGAATGGCTATGCATGCCATTATAAGTCTCAAATGCTGGTTCTCAATCGTACTTCCCGTAATATCCTCACCTCGAAAATGGCCATTGCATGTTGCAGAAAGGGGCCATACCCAAAGTTTTTACCCTGCATGCCTACCAAATATATTTTGATGGTAGTTCTGTAGTCTACATTGGTTCCAAAAACTTGATCATTTAGAGGATATTCTGAATTTTAATAAATTCTTTTTGTCCAGTTATCTCATTTGCTCCTTTTTGAATGATGCTGCAGGGAAGTTATGTCTATGATGTAAATGGAAAAAAATATCTTGATGCTCTTGCTGGTTTATGGTGCACAGCATTAGGTATTTTCTTGATTCACTAATTGACAATGGCCTCAAGTTTCTGATGCATATTACAGAAAACCTTTTTATCTATGCATGTTTTTGTTGCAATTACTAGAATGAAAGCAAGTGAAAATTTTTTATTTGCTTCTTAAGGTTATCGATTCCAAAATTGGCGATATTTTTTGGTTTTGTCTCACAATAAAATATTCTAAGGAAATTTTTGCATCAAGTTTAGTCGTGCCTATGCAACTGTCTCTTTTATATTTGACTGTGAAGTTTATTGACATTAAGAAGCTTTGAGGAAACAGGATTTGTCAATCTACTGAATCTTTTATGTGGGTGGTGACTAATAGTTTTGGTACTTGGACAAATACTGGAATTCATCTTTTACACTAGTGGCCATTAAGGTGGTGGTATAATGACGTGCAAAGATGTCCAGTAATGAAGCAATTATCTTTGTCTTATACTGGCACTTGTGCAGGTAGACTCTTTCTTGTTGGTAACTTAATAAAAGAAATTTGTAATTAATTTGATCAATATATTGTTTCTTGATTCTTTGAAAGGAAATTTAAAACCTAGAGACATTAAACACTTACAGCGGAATAATAATCCTCATAGAAATGGAGGGGTGGGGGGTGGGGGGATTTAACAAATGCTATTGCTGCTTTAACAGATTCCAAGTAAGTTCAACCTCTATTGTCCACTTCTAATAAAACATAGGGGTGCAACCAATTTTTTGTGAATGTTAACAAATGGTATTGCTGTTCTTAATAGATGCCAATTAATTTAACCATTATTGTCAAGTTCTATAAAACCTAATGGTTCAACCCAGTGTTTTCTATATAAATCACCCGGTTCCTACAAAGAACCGGATCATCCACAGACGATTCCCTATCCGGATTGGCAATTTCTTATCCGGATCGACAGGTTTTCAAACACAGGTTCAAACCAATTTTTGGCACACATTCATTTGCAGCAGTAAGTTTCTTGTAATTGTGACATTTCTAATGCATGTAGCTAGGCCAACTATTGGAAATAAAACTATGAAACTGATGATGACTATGATATCCATGTATTTTACTGTTCAATAATATTATCGTTATCCACCACGGATTGCGTCATTACTATGTTATCCCCAGAAGTGTCAGCTTATGATTAAGGGGACAATCCTTTCATTATTGAGATTTCTATATGTGTCTCAAGTAAGGGTTATTCATCCCTTGATTTGTGGCTGAATAATTTTACTACAAATGGAATGTTGTTATCGACTGTTTGTTCCTTGAAACCTTGCTGTTGTCTGATGCAAGCCAGGAGGAGAGAGAAGAAGAACACAAGAACCAACCCAATTGTTAATTCGATTCAAGTTCATCTCTCTATTTTCAGATGACATGAATGACTCCTTATAGGCTCTAAACCTAGGTCTAGATGCTTCTAAAGATGCCTCACCAAGTCCCCATACATTGGAAGATCAAAAGCCTCCTAAAAATCCCTAAAGCATTGACTCAAGATAGGATTGCTATCATTAAAGCCCATTAGAACTCATCAAGTAATAATTATAATAGAAATAACTATTTTCTCTAGCTAATTTGCCTCTTATTCATGCATTGATTTTTTTAATTAATTACTAAATATTGCTCAAACTGTGCTTGAAATCCCAAGGGAACTGAAAACCAAAAGACTCCTAAAACCATCTTATGTTGGAGAGAACTCATCCTCAAATTTGAGAATCTTTGCCACATCTCTGTTTTGCTTTAGTTGAATTTAGACTTCACTTTTGGTATTTGTGGTGTGATTCTACTGCTGGCGCTGGATCTCTCTTAGATCTCCAAACCTCAATAATCAGGTTGCTGTTGTATTGTTGGACCATGTTATTAAAAAATAAGAGTTGCAACTGATTGAATAATCCTTGAAGAAAAGTATCTTCTCCTTTCAGAAAAGGATCCTAATAACATGTGGTAGGATTCCTAACTCTTCATAACATAAGTTCATCTATCCATCAAAAATGGGTTTCGCCTCAAGTACATCATCAATTGCATCTTCTTTATCAAAGATGGTGCTTTTTCCCATTCGACAATAGTTTTCACCATGGATGTTGATGAGAATGACCATCCCACCTCACCCCCATGGTCCTCAGTATACTTTAGCTCTCGGATCGTCGCATCTTTTAGGCTCTCTTCTTCTGGTGTTGCTCACAGAACACCATAATGGAAGGAGTTCTCATTGCTTCCCCAGAAAACCTCTATTCTATCAATCTTCACAAAAATGCCTTTAAGACAATCTAACACCATTGTCCTTTATTTATGTTTTTCACCTAAAATTATTGTATTCATGTTCAATGTTTTTTTTTTTTTACTCTGGCTAGATAAGTTATATGATATTATTTTTACCATTTGAAAACACTGCATTTGATTTTTGAGGATAAATCTCACAAATACTGTACTTAGTGTTGAATGATTAATATACAAATTGTATCTGTTATAAATAATATTTGGGGTTGATTTATTGCAGGGGGGAATGAGCCTCGACTTGTGGAAGCTGCAACCAGACAATTGAATAAGTTACCATTTTATCACTCTTTTTGGAACCGTACCACAAAGCCATCTCTGGTACTTATTGACCTAATCTTTTGGCTTGGATTGGTTATATTGAAAGAAAGTTGTTTTGTTGTTCTTTTCTTGCTAGAATCAGTGTAGGAAAAATCGAACCGGAACGGTTAACTGGACATGGCCCAGAAGCAGTTCAACCGGCCTAACCGGTAAACCGGCCGATTCAATCGTTCTAACCGGGCAAGTTTCAGGCAGTAAAAAAAGTATTAAAAAAACTAAACAAAATAAAAAAAATCTAATAAAATATGAAAGTATATTTAAAGAATGATTAAACAAATGACATCCAAATGAAATTGAAAATTAATGAAAAAATGGATTTTAAAGAATCAATTTGTGCTCAAGGGTATTTTTGAAATTTTCTATAAAAAGATGGGAAAATATAAAAAGAAGTATTAATGGCCAAACAATTTCCAATCTTTGCCATAATGATAAAAAATATTAAAAAATGCATTACAACAAAATTCCTTTTTTTTGGATTTTATATAATTTTTTTTAAAATTGTTTGTAAAAATACCTGGCCGGTCACCAAAAATTGTCCGGTTCCGATCTAACCGGGCGGTTACTAATTAGACTGCCTAACTAACCTGGTGGTTACTAATTAGACTGCCTGATTTTTCCTTCAATGGGTAGAATTATGTTTTGAACAATTTTTGCAGATCTGAGCATTTTTGTGTTTTCATTCTATTTTCCCGAAGTAGAAAAACTTTTGTAAACACTCAACTGATGATTTTTTTTGTTTTTTATATATTAGCTGGAAAATGGTTTTGGTTGATTTTACTGCAATATTGTATTAAAATATACAGGAAATTCAATTTGCATTCCTTTCTAGAAATGCTTAGACCTTTTTGTTTCTAGTTTTATTATCACTTTAAATGATTTTCATTGAGTTTTGCAGTATTGATTTTTTGTCAAGTAGACCAATCTATTTTATTGAGTAGGTTAACTTGATTTGTAAGATAGAGGTTCAAAACTAAAGACCTCATGCAGTGCAAACTGATTGTGTCCCTTTTAAGCCAAGGCTAGGTGGACTAATCTATCTTTAATTATTTTTTGCAGTTGCTTCATTCTAACATGGGCAATCTTGACATGGTCCTTTACTGTTTTCCTTACAGGATCTTGCAACAGAACTGCTAGAGATGTTTACTGCTAGGAAAATGGGAAAGGTCTTTTTTACAAACAGCGGGTCTGAAGCTAATGATTCCCAGGTTTGATTTCTATGTTTTACTTCACATTGACTTCTTGAGCTTTCCATAATTATCTTTCCTATTGTTATTGAAAAATTATGTTTTGATCTGACAATAATCCTTGCAAGGTGACTTAAATTCTGCATTGAGAAGGGAGATTAAAATTTTAGGACATGGTTAGCTAGGTATTTTATTGCTGTTGAGGATATGGTTGATACATTCAATATGGCATTTGTTTTCCCTTTTATTCTGGCCTGACTGTGAAATACAAAAGGGCTATGACATTACGTTTGAATCCATTTTGAACATTCCTTATCACTTTCATTTTATTTTAGGATTAATTTATTATTGGAATGTATATATGTTTTAATTATTAAAAAGTTACAGATGTCCTCCTTTTTCTTTTTGAAAACCTTTGTTTCTGTCATATTTATGGCATATTGGTATGTTTGACACATATTCTTGTCTGGGTAACAGAGCGGGCAAAGGGTATTAGGTGTAACAAGAGTATGCACCCTAGCTATGGTATCCTTCAAAGGATCCCTTTGGGACCTTGATAGTCGTAACAAGACGGGTGTCTTGAGCTTGAACATCTAAGCAGTCCATTTACCCCGAGTGATACATATGATATGGCCACTTTATACACTTTTGGAGGAATGACCAAGAAAGACCATAGGTGAACAAGAATAGATGCCTTTACTAAACAAGGCTGGATACATCTTTGCCATCTTAAATTCTTAATTATATAGTGGAACTTGGCATATGTCTTTTCAGGTATTCCATTGGCTAATGCAGTTTGTAAAGCCTTGAGGAGACTTATACGGCTGAAAGTGCAATAAATAAGTGAATGACAACATCTCCCTCTACTACTGATGTGGCAAACCACATGATGGTTGAGGCCCCTGTAAAATTGACTTTCATGAGGAGTCCGTTGTATGTTATTGTCATATGGGATGTGTCAGCCTGTTGGATATATTCAAACTACAGTACTATTATCATATTTTTAAGTTACTTGAAATATTTCTTGGAAAGGATACAGATTTTATCCCAATTTGCAGAAATCATCTTTTGGGGATCACCATTCTCTGTTTACTTCAAAGTTTATGCACAACTGCATGTAATCTCTAGAGGGAGTGCTAGAGCCCATTTCATTTCTATATTATTGATTAGGTTTTTTTTTTTCCTTTTATTCTTGCTCCCTTTGCTTTTTATGTGGCCATTGTATTGTCATTGTTTTGCATCACGTCATATTGTTTACGTTTAATTTATGAGTACTTCAAATTGCATCGGAGAAAGAGTTGATATGCCCATTGATAATCTTTACTTTTAGCCATGGCTTTCCTGCACTTTCACATAATGGGGACTATGTTTATATGCATTTTATTATGAATCCATTTAAAGTGTATTTCTGTAGTTCCTCATGACTTGAACATATCTGCAGAAAGCTTTAGGATAATGAATTTTACTGGTTTGGTAAGTCGCCTATAGAACATCTGTAATTTCAAAATTTGTGATGGCTCATATTCCATAGAATCAGTATATGTGAAGATGAGGCACTTTAATTGAGCCCTTTTGAATACTATATTTCGACGATGCAACATACTGAATACTGCTCATGTGGCGTGTTTTAGGCTCTGGACTTCTCCATGACAGCTTCTGATTTTCCCAAGCTTTGTGTTTTTAAAATTTTGCAGATCTTGATTTCCTGTGTTGTTGGTATGTGTGTGCATGTGCATGTGTGTGTGGGCACATACAAATTTAATTTCAATAGCATCGATTCCTCAAATTTTGAGGTCATGCCTTTCTCATGACGGTTTTCTGAATTTAGGTGAAGCTAGTTTGGTATTACAATAATGCATTGGGAAGACCGGATAAGAAGAAGTTTATTGCACGACAAAAATCGTATGTTTCTGTTTAGTTGCTTTTGATGCAAATATTTCATTAGCTCTTACCAATACTAGTTTAGTTTGGGGAACTTTTTCATGTAAGGGGAGGAAATTGATCATTTCTCATTTTTCCTTATGTACTTCTTTGCAACAGATATCATGGATCAACTCTAATTTCGGCAAGTCTCTCAGGGTAACATTTCTTTTAATGTATTATACTATTTAGGATGATTTGGGATCTTTCATAACTTTTTTACTTTATTTAATTTTTTTGAAAAGGTCTAATAAGGTTGAGGGCCTTAAACTTTTCCTTAACCTGTTTCAAACCTGAATAAAGGAGGTGGATTGCATTAGGTAGGCAGCCAATGTAAAACTTTGCCACGTTTTATCATGAATCCTGAACCTATGTGACTTTTTGGTCTTACGGAGGGTATGACCTTTGATAGAGAGGAATGAAGGAACAAGATTCATATAGCCAACCCCAAATCATTAGGATAAAGCTTGGATGATGATGTTGACACTATTCTTCTAGTATATTAGAGAGCTTGTGGGTTTCATCAGTATGGGGCTTTGATTTATCATGGAGCCCTTTAATGAGTAGAATTGTTGCCCCAAGGTTTGAGATATGGCCCTTCCATCTTAAAGTTTGGTTTTTGAGTTCCACTAGCTTGTTTACCTTAGGAGAAAAGTGAAATTGCAGTATTTAGTTCTCTTAAGCTTTATTTATATGAATTGTTTTCCTTTGACTTGAGTATTGTAACTGACGGAAAATTCTTTGCCTATATAGTCTTCCAGCATTACATCAGAAGTTTGATCTTCCAGCACCTTTTGTATTGCATACAGACTGCCCACACTATTGGCGCTTCCATCTTCCTGGTCTTTGCCCTATATCCTTTTTCACAATTCCAATTTCCATGTTCTATGGTTTGTAAGAATATCTATATCTATATATTGAATAGGGTTGGTTATGTACCAGGTGAGACGGAGGAGGAATTCTCCACCAGATTAGCAAATAACTTGGAAAATCTCATATTGAAGGAGGGACCGGAGACAGTAAGTTCTTGTTACTTGTATTATGTAAGAGCTGTTATCTCCATAGAAATGTTTTCTTATTTATGTGGTTATTATTGCAGATTGCTGCATTCATTGCCGAGCCTGTCATGGGTGCTGGAGGTGTCATTCCACCCCCTGTAGCATATTTTGAGAAGGTGACTGATCTTCATTATTTGATTTTCAGTGGAAGCTTTATTGTCAAAAGAAGTTCATGCATCTCCTCTAGCTACTTTGGTAGATTTAATTTATATCAAATCCTGCAAATTAAATTTCCGAGTAAATGTGTGAGATGAAATTTAATCAAATCACTTTCCTTCATGATTCTTCATTCTCTCTTTTTTTTGTGTCCTTTGTCAATCATGAAGGCATGGTAAAATGTTATTCGACATCACTTTCTCATTCATATGCTCTTATTGCCTCTTCAAACTTTTAACAGATTGGAAAAAAAAATTGCTTTTGAAAAATTCTCTTTGTTTCCTTATTCCCTATCACATATTGGTAATAGATTTTCCTATTGTATATTCTGCCTTTTTCTCTTCTTTGCTTTACGGGCCTCTTATCCTTCCCATCATCGTACCCTCCTTTCTCTCAATTTTGTCTCTATTCTCTCTTGCCTGTTTTTGTTTTTGTTTTTTTTCCTCGTATGAAACATATGTGCAGAACCTCTTGAATTTTGTCATTTCCCCTCTGTAATGTTTTCAGCTCACACCTCAGTTTCCACCTTCTCAATCCTTTGCCCTAGTTCTTTGAGTGAGAGTTTGTTGTTGTAATGCGTTCACCATAAGAGAAGAAGTATAGAGACATAATTATGTACAAAAATACTCTATGTTTGGCCATTTTTCCTGAATGAATTCATATATAAGATAATGAGCTCTAAGGTCTCCATTATTGGAATGATGATGGTTAGTCTAAAACCTATTCATCAGTGCATGGTGATAAAGCCCCAACTTATGAAACTTCAAAATTTATCCTGTAACACTAGAGATTTGTGCCTAAATTGTTAACTTTATCTCAAAAAAAAACACTAGAGATTTGTGCCTAAATTTTGTTTGGTTAGTAGCAAGAAAATAAGAGAAGTCAAGAGTCATAGGTCCAGCAGTTCTCATGTTTCAAGGGCCTTGCTAGAGTTCTCACGTGTTAATTCTTCTCACACGTACCATATCTGACCGTGCATTTTTTGGATTTCTACGGTGAAGATCATTTGTACTTGTTGGCCGTTCCCTAGCAGAACTCTTATCCATAAATTTCTGTGATGTTTCTTCTCATTTACTTGCATGTTTTGTTGAATAAGATCAAACATTTAAGCCTATTGGATTAAGTTTGGATGCATCCATTAATTTCTTCGGCCATCTTTCTAGGTTGCTATTTTAAGGCCTGACATTTGATGATTGTATGTCTCTTCCTTTGGCCGGTGAAATGTATTTATTCATGGAGCAATGCTTTTTTTTTTTTGGTTATTTCTGTAGATTCAAGCTGTTGTGAAGAAATATGATATTCTATTCATTGCAGATGAGGTAATTCAAATATTTCTACATTCAAAACTTGCGATAGATGAATTTTTTAGGGTAACACTGCTTCTGAGGCGTGCTTATATTTTTTCTGCTGCCTTCTGGATCCATCCTTTAACAGGTTATCTGTGCCTTTGGAAGGTTGGGGACAATGTTTGGGTGTGATAAGTACAATATTCAGCCAGATCTTGTAACCATTGCAAAAGTACGCCATCTGCATATAAGAAAATTTCTAAACTCTACCTTTATCACACCTAATTGCAATTTCTTGATTTTTCAGGCTCTTTCATCAGGATATATGCCCATTGGTGCAATTCTTGTAAGCCCCGAAATCTCGAAGGTTGTTTACTCACAAAGCAATGAACTTGGTACGTTTAGTATTTCTCCCTTTGACTGGTTAAATTGATCGAAGGTGTCCTGGTTCCTTATGCATGCCATCTTGCTCTTTGCAGGTTCGTTTGCCCATGGATTTACTTATTCTGGGCACCCTGTGGCTTGCGCTGTTGCATTAGAAACACTGAAAATTTACAAGTATGTAGCTGGAACTTTAAATGGGAAAAGGCTATAATGATGATGATGATGATGCAGTCAGAACTATTGTTCTCAAGTCCTGTCTTTTTTCTAGATGCACTTTTAGAACGTGTTAATTTGCACAGTGGCCAAGGACTTGTTAACTTGTGAAAGGACCTAATGATGCTAATTAATTTGCACAGAGAGAGAAATATTGTTGACCAAGTCCTCAGCATAGCGCCAAGGTTCCAAGAAGGCATACGAGCCTTTTCTGAGAGCCCCATTATTGGAGAGGTACATTACTCTCTACAATGAGATTTCATTACCATTTTACTCTTTAAAATGAGATCCCATTACCATTTTGCTCTTTAAAATGATCATGGAGTTTCCAATTAAATTGAGCAACTAGTATTTTTAACTGAGTTGGAAGATAATAGTTATTGTGACACCGAGGTCCAACAAGAATATGATCTCCTATTGTTTGTTATGCAGATACGAGGAACAGGATTGATACTTGGTACTGAGTTTACAGATAATAAGTCTCCAGCAGATACTTTCCCACCTGAGTGGGGTAAAATCCTAACATTTGATTTTTAGCACGTCGGAGAATAATAGATGCTCATGCAATGCAGTGAAAATATACATGAGGGAAACTGAGGTGATGGGTGTCTAGTAAATAGAGAAATGTATGGGGTGACCTCCTTCAGATCATAAAGTTACTTGACTAACTTAGATCAGCAAGGTGTTTACACTTATAATCCAGCTATCAAAAAATTCAACTTCATTTAGTTGCTAGAGAACATATTCCAATAGAAAGTGTATGAAAACAAAAATTTGATGTTTTTGCGTTCTTCTTCTCTGATAATTATCCTGTTTTTTAGGAAAACATTGATTCCCTTCGCAAAACATTTTCAGTTTTTGTTTTTCCCTCCTAATTTTGGGTTGTTTGCTTCCAGATTAGAATCAAAATAGAAAGTCGATCCAAGTTTGGGCCTGGGACATCCTAGTTGGGACTGAGAGCTACTTTTAAGATTGTTACATAGACCTGAACTAGTTTAAGGGGGTAATATCAAGTACGGTTTCCAAGTTTTATGTTATCAATTTTGAGAAATTGAGCGAGATTCTAGTATATCTATAGTTCGTTTAGAACAACAAGTGTCTGCATAAGATATGATTTTTGAGAACAGTAAGCATTACTACGTTTAGAACAACAAGTGTCTGCATAAGATATGATTTTTGAGAACAGTAAGCATTACTACAAGTGTAACTGTTTCAGAACAGAGAGTGTAGGTAATTTCAAGAGGTTATCTAGAAATCATTGATTAAAAGTATCCATGTCAAATTTGATGTCTATGGGTTTTAGAAATAGTTATGCTGCCAAGGAGTTATCTCCTGTTCCCTTATGCATGACCCAAGGTCATCTCTCTCTCTCTCTCTCTCTCTCTCGCACACACACACACACACACGCACATATACATGCACAAAAAGACAAACACACACAATGGTTTGGAAGTATTTAGCGGATTATTAATCTTGACTCCATGCTCCGCCCTGGCTAGTTCCCTTATAGAACTGCAGTTGCTGACACCTCATATTGTCTCTTACTTTAGATTATCATCCAATGCTCTAAATAGCCACCCAATAACAATATATGGTTACATAATTCTCCATAGGATAGGCCAAGCATCCAAATATTGTCTTGATCAAATTATTTGTTTCCTCCATGATAGCATCGCCTTGTATCATGGTCAACTTGTCATGACTATAAAACAATGTGTGTATGCGTATGTGTGTGTGAAGATTTGGTCTGCCCTAGTGTGGTGTGGACTGCCATGGTCTCCATCTTACATAATTTTTAAGGCTTTAGGGACAATTGTTCAGGCCTGAAATTTGCATACTCCCTCTCTCTTGAACCAACAAACAAGATCATGGAAAACATTAATTTAAAAATAGAAACTGGTTTTCATTGAGAAGAGTGACGATGCAGTATGGATTACCCATTTCAATTGTTTAAAAGTGGTATTAGATTGAGGCCTTGGGGGTATGTGTTTAACCTAAGATTTTGTAGATTGCCTTATCATCACTTTATGAAGAATTTCAAAAAAATAAAAGTCTGACTTTGGGTTCTTTAAGACCTGGATCTAATGGTCCAAAATTGTTCACTATTGAGGTGGGTTGCGTTTTAGGGATTTTTTTTTTGGGCTCGAGTGCTAGGATGAGTTGGGCTTATCCCCAAAGTTTGGTTCCGCAGCATCCCCCTTAGCCATTGATCAGACCAGATTAGTTTCCGCTGTGTGCGCGCGTGCACGTGTGTGTGTGCATCCATGCATGCATGTGTGTGTGCTTATTGTGTTGTTTTTTCTAGTTCTCTGTTTTGTTTCTACCACTTACATTAGCTATTTCCTAATGAAGATTTTCCTCCATTTTATATTTCAAGATGTGTGTTTGATAGCTCACTGTCACTGCATTCTAGTTTTAATCATTTTTCCGTAGTGTTGCAAAACCTAACGTTAAAATTTTGGACGATTTCAGGGGTAGGAGCATGGTTTGGTGCTGAATGTGAGAAGCAGGGAATGTTGGTACGAGTCGCTGGAGACAACATTATGATGTCACCCCCTTTCATCATGACACCAGAAGAGATAGATAGAGTATGAGCTTAATAATCCCTAGTTATGTCAAGTCGGCTGCTACTTGACTTTTCTGGGTTCATAAGATGTCGGAGTTCTTTCGAGTTCGCGTTGAGTATATTCTTTGTAGGTTGTCTTGTAAATCCAAATTAGTCACCACAACTTCACTGTATATAGTTTTTGAAGTTTTAAAGACCCGACCGAGATTTTTGTTAGCTCATGTGGAAAATTTGTATTCGACATTGTTTTTCAATCTCACAATCCACGTGGATATTTTCATTTTTTGTGGCATGTAAGTTCTATAGTGCATTTTCAGTGGATTGCTAACTCTTGGAACCTGAAACCTTTGTTCTCAGTTAATTAACATCTATGGAGAGGCGCTCAGAAGCACGGAGGAAAGGGTGAAGCAGCTCAAGGCACGACGGTAGCAGCACAGGGCATGATGACCCCAAGCACATCTTCTTTTCTTAGAAGTGATGATGATGAAAAGTATTATATGAAATCGTGCGGTTGAAAGGTTCAAGTACTTCCAATGGGCATGTCGAATTTTATTCAAAGGGCTCAAACCCAAGCAATATGTAATATTTAATAGAGTCGTATCAGAGGGAGAATTGTGTTGCTGTGTGAAGAGGCGACATGTTTATAGTTTGTCTTCTCTCTGCAATAAAATGTGGCCTACATTTTCTGTGACATTTTTCTTTGAATCCTATAGACTTTTTTGGTTGTGTGAAAATTTTAATAAAAGCCAGTGGAGCATCCCCTTTTTAAGAGATTACCTATATATTTCTCTTGAAATTTTTTTAAACCCAATTAAAATAGGAGAAGAAACCTCTCCTTATTTTAATGAGGACAGAACTTCTTGAATTTCTCCGGAAAACCATCCCCTGTATTTCATCCCCAATTAAAATGACCCATTTTCCTACCTAAACTAAATTATGATATCTTCCAATCAAGATGAAGTATTATCCCATTTTCCAAGAAATAAGTCATGAAACTTCTAAAATAGAAGGGATTACCTACTTCCTGCTCCTAACTAAAGCAAGAAGAGTAACTTTGATGCTGCTCCTAACGAGACAACCAAGGAAGATGCATTGAAATTCATACAAACTTCGAACTTCGAATTCATTGAAATAACATGGGATAAGAATAGGATGGTGCAGCTACTTATAGCTTCATTGAGGGTATGACCCTTGATATGGGGACTTACAGCCTTATGAGGGTATGGATTTTTGATTGAGCGGAATGGCAGATCACAATTAGTGTAGTTAGTTGGGAAAAAAGCTCGATGATGAAGTTTGAGATGGTATGGTGAATTTACAAATGGGACTAAAAATAAAATGGAACGACTAAGTCCCCAGAACATACCTTTCGAAAAGTGCATATATGTTGATCTCGATAACTTCCTACTGTCGGTTGTGGGACTAAAGTCGCATATTTGTGTTCTTTAATTTCAACGAGCCGTTCATGTGTACATGTCCAATTTCTTGAGAAAGGAACATTTTAGGGTTACATGACCAATTACTTGAGAAAGGAAAACAATTATGGAAGGTGTCAACGTTATTCTTTAAAAGTATGGTACACCTCGAAATCCACACAAAAATGTTATTTTGACATTGAAAAGCCTTATAAAAGTGATCATCTTAACCTCAATACATATAGATGTTAAAAAAAAAAGAATTTTATGTTCTAAATAATGCATCTTGTAATATATTATTTAGAATGTCTATCTTTAAACTTTTTTTAGTGTGTTTAGATTGCTCAATCTCCACCATTTTTGGAGCTTTACAATTCGTAATTAGGTGAAAATAAATTTCTAGGCTACCTTAAGTGTCTCTGGCACCTAAACTGCATCTTGTACCAAAATTTAGAGGTGCGCTTTACTTTGGTTGTTTAAGGTTCACACCTTATACCAACTTTACTCAAAACTGCTTGCTCATATTCTACAGTTTTCACTCATGGCGTGTTACTGTTCAAAATCCATCAAACAGCCATGATTCTCTAATAGTATTTGACTTTTAATAATGGTTTTTACAAATCTAATTAATCTCAAAATTTGTGGGTGTGTGCTCTTTAGAGAGGCGCATATTGATAAAATATAAAAATAATTTGAATAATAAAATAACCAAATTACCCTTATGAATATTTTAGGGGTATATTTCATCATTCTATTTTTTTAATGATTATTTAGGTACGAGATGGTTAATAGCTACACATGCCCCAATTTCAAATAAATCAAATATCTAAAAAAATATTAAAAACAAAATATTTTTAGATAATCATGGTTGCCTAATAATATTTGGATGGTGATGAGCCGTGAATGAAATGCCTTCGATGGTGATGAGCCTTGAATGAAAT